ATCATGGCAACCAGTCCTATTCCTATTGTTTACTTCATCGTGCAAGCTCATGTTGCTAGGAGACGCTATTGGATGGGACGTGATGTTGCTTTTAGTCCTTTGGCTAAAAGCACATCCTTTAGGGCCTCGGCGTTGCCTTCAGGAGATCATTGCTTTTTCAAACGTTCATGTCACGAGCTTGGGTCTTTGTTTATAAAAAAAAAAAAAAAAAAAAAAAAAAAAAAAAACGTTTTTTTATGAAAACATTTCGATATAAAGTATATGCAATATCGGATAAATAAACAATGCATATGAATAACTATATAATTCAAGACATAAAGCATTGAAACAATAAAGCAGGCTGGCGAGACGCTGTAACAACTACAAACAATAACAAGACAAGTTACAATAGAATTCAATAAAAGGAAAAAAAAACCGAAGCCTAATATTGGAATTACTCCACTCAAAGAAACGACATAAATTCTCAGTGGTTTTGATACGAATGATAATATATACAAATAATATTAAATGATGAATAATAGTAATAAATAAATATATTAGATATCATTTATTTATCATCATATATATATTTATTATCGTTATATATAATTATTATTATATCTTATTATAATTATATTATCATTTACTATATCATATCTATTATTATTTATCATTATAATTCATTATTATTATTATTATTATATTATTATATCATCATTAAAATATCATTATTATTATCATCATTATCATTATACGTAGAGCAGTTAATAGCCACCAAGTGAGCAAGATAATATGACAATTATGTTTATAATAATAGTAGATGGACCACAATGAGTAACAATATAATAACAAACAATATTAATGATAATGAATTATGATGAATTATGATGATGATAATGATGATGATGGAAAGAATGAGATAAAAATAATAAAAATAAATGGATATAATAATATTGGCTAAATAATTCATAGAAATTGAATAATAATGATAATGATGATGACGATGATAACAAATAACAGTGAGTTAATGATAAAATGATTAAAAATCAATATCGATAATAACAATGTAATAATTAATAAGAAAATAATTATGATAAATAATCAAGTAATGACAAAAAATGTAATAAATAAAAGCAACCGCAATAAAACTAGTAGAGTACTTTCAACTCAATTTTAAAACAACTTATAAATATCAATAAGGAATTAAAGACATAAGAATATGCAAAAATAAGGAAAAAGTGAAAGAATGAAATACGGGTCATTTTTTGAATATTTGAAATAAAAATAAGGGTTCTATCGCCTAGGCTCTTCTCGTCTATCACTTCTCATTTCTCTCCTCTCCCATCTCCTGCATATCTCTCTCTCTCTCTCTTCTCTTTCTCTCTCTCTCCTCTCTCTCTCTCTCTCTCTCTACTCTCTCTTACTCGATCTCTCTTCCCCTCCTCTCCCTTTCTCTCTCTCTCTCCTCTCTATCTACTCTATCTCTCTCTCTCTCTCACTCCTCCTCTCCTTCTCTCTCTCCCTCTCTCACTTCCACTCTCTATCTCCATCTCTCTCTCCTTTCCTCTTTCCTCCTCTACATTCATTCTCACCTCTCTCCTCTTCTCAATTTCCTTCTAAATACCTCCTCTTCCCCCTCTACTTTCCTCCCTTACTCTCATGTCCCTCTCTCCCTCCCTCCCGGTTTCTCTCCCCTCTAACCTTCATTCCCTCCATCCCCTCCCTCTTTCCCTCCCTTCCTCTCTACCCCATCTCTCCCCTCTACTTCATCCTCCCTCCCTCCCTTCCTCTCTCCCCCTCTACATCATTCCTCCTCAAATCCCTTCTCCCTTCCTCCCTCCAATTCCTCTACTCCGGTTTCTCCCTCCATTACCTCTTACTCATTCCCTCCCCTTACCTCCTCCCTCCCTCTCTCCTCTCTCTCTATCACTCCCTCCCTCCCTCCCTCCTCTCTCCTCCCTCCTTCCTTCCTCGCCTCACCTCCTCCTCCCCGGTTCTTCTCCCCCCTCCCCCTCTCTCCCTCATATTCATTTAGGAGAACATCCAGCCCCAGGCAACGAGAGCGAGTTCCTGCCCAAAAGGAAACATGCTGGCCAGGGTTAAACGCCATGGAAACAGTTCATGATTAGGTATTGTTCCATTTTACAATAATTATCTCGGGTTCCACGAAATATTACAGTCTGCTCATTTCAAGAAAAGAGAAATGATGTTGAAGGGTCTGTGTCATGGTAAGCTTCTCTGGGAATCCATTTTTTTTTTTCGAAAGTTTGGCTTATTATCGTAATTACTTTTTTAACAAGTTTGCGAGACAAGAAAGAAAAGCAAAAAAAAGAACGTAATTAGGCTGGCAAAAGTTGGAAAAAATATTAAAAGTAGAATCCTCTTCATCTTCATCATAATAGGAATTTGATTAAAGGGGAAAAAATGATGAAGAATAAGAAATATTACAAGAATTTACTAGCATTATATCTAGCTTGTGACGTCATTATACGAGCAACACACTCCAAGCAGAAAGAATCCGTCATTATAATGTGTTGAGTGAAATTAATCTTTCTTAGTCTGACTTCGTTTGTGTGAACCACGAGCCGATGATATGAAGAAAAAGTTATAAGCCTAAACCACTCTTGTTACAAGGCTTATGTTCGTGTGG